TCAAATGACCTTGATAGTTAAAATTACGATGAATCGTAGAGTACTCAAGCGAAATGATATCGTCGATATTCTATAACTCACTCGATTAGTTCCTATAAATAAATAGATAAATATGATATATATCAAGATGTGTCTAAGCATTTCGAAACAAAGCTGACAGTTAACGAGGCTGACATTGTTTGACGAACCAGCAGTTGAAATCGAGAATTCTGATGGATTGTTAACTGTAAAAATAGCTTTTCCTATCGTATCTTCGATTTTCTCTACCAGAAACATTCGAATTGTTCAACGGTAGCCACTGGATTTAGCGCAAGTAAACAATCAGCATGCCATAGAAGCAGAAAGAAGAAGAGAAATGTACTGATGAGCACTGCGGATCCAATAACTTGAACACCATGGAGAAATTTTGAACAATCTACCATGAACGAACATAAAACAGAAGAGATTTCTTTAGCCTTGAGCGCTTTAATATCTCTTGATTGAATTATCACTAAAAATTTCCTTTTTTTTATTACATATGAAAGATAAAACGGATGTGCATTGACCTCCTTCTCTTCTTCTTCTTCTTCTTCTTCTATTCGCTTTGTTTGTTCGTTTCATCTAGCAGAACATGCACTCAAGGATTAAATTGCCGAATGCAATTAGCATGTGGATTAAGTAACTCTCGAAAGAAGATGCTATTAAGACGAAGAATAAGAATAGCTCACATTTCGAATTTTTAACAGAGAGAGTTGCGTGAATAGAAAATAAAAACCAATGTACGTTTAGTTTCCCGTCTACCACCAATGATCATAGTTGCTGATGATGTACAGATTCACTACTCGTTGAGTTAGCACCTAGGAAAGATATTACTATCGAAAAAAAAGGCCTGTATCTGGTAAAATCGTGTACCAAGAATGATCTTTAGACATTCACGTCGGCATATCTTAATACTATAATGAACCGAATATAAGTGGATTAAACAGTATGTCTTGATCTACAAATGCTGGCATAAGTTTTTTTTTGTTTATTATGAGACTACTGACGTGAAAAGTTATTCTACTGGATAACGAGTGTGTCGCTGACATACGTTCTAATAAGTGCAATGAAAATAACACAATTCTTTTCTTTTCTTCTCTTCTCTTTTCCTGTGCGCTCTATTGTTTGTATGTACATTTTCCTTCGTTTGTTATCATTACCCTCATTGAACATACGGCTATAGTATTTCTCTAGAATATTCCTATGTGCTAAAATGGAACAACAATCGCAATCAACGACGCCGTATGTTTAGTATTTGTTTTAGAAATACTTTTTCTTGACTGAAAGCTTTTTTAGGACGATTCCAATAACGAATAGGTCGAGGATATGTTCATCGCCTGTTCGTGTTACATGTGAAGTGTTTCTTTTACTGTTACTTTTTGCACCTTTTATTGTGTTCATAACCAAATGGCCAAGTGTAGAACATATGATCCAAGGAAAAGTTCTTGAAGTAGATCAACATTGCTCAAACGAAACCAAATTTCATTTCTTCTTCTCGGTTTTCTAGAAAACACGTTTAGCCCCACTATCCGATGGCAATGAAAGTTGGACAAACCCTCCCATTACGACTTTACGTGCGTATCGTTTGTTCAATGTAACGAACTATATGGATATCATGACGGATACAAACAATCCGACGTTGAATTTTCAAGAAACACTACCATTTATGTACAAGTAACGACTGAATCATTTTGACGAGTGGATATTAGAAAATCGACTTCATTTGTGTTCTAGGGTTGTTGTGAAGAAGAATAATCCGAAATGGTTTGATAACGACACGAAAATTCATTATTCGATCGAACGTATATTCACTCGCTATGGTGAATATAGTGAAGCTTTGCTCGGGCAAGAAGGTGCCTTCGTTGATATTCTTCGTGTGGTGAGTCGAAAATATGTGTGACGCAGGAAATAAAAATCTCGATTTTCGTAGATGTTTCGAACGAAATTCGGTCGAGTTGCCGATCCCGTTTTTTACATTCTTGGTGGAAACAATGCATTTAACTATTCGAAAGCTATTGACAAACTCGAAGGTTATATCTCTCCCATATTTGCTGCAATCTCATCACGAATGCAAGGACCAAACAAAGACAAATATGGATTTATCTACCGAGTAAAGATAACATTGAATACGAATAACTTTTATGTTTCGTTCTTGTTCATCTAGTATAACGGAACGAATGGTTTCAACTTTACCATTCAAACTGGCATTGATAATTCTTCGATAAAAGGACAAATGCTCAGTTTCGAAACTGAATAGTAAGGAGTTGATTCGATATACAAACAATGGTTTGATATCCGTCATTTGTTGTTTAGTACACCATTTAAAACGAAAAGTCAAGATTGGCAAACGGATATTTTCGGTGAGAAGGAGATTTTCTATCATGATTGAAAAGATCCTCATGTTTCCATTTCAGACGGGTTGACATTTCCACCATTGGGAAATCCACCGAATCGAAAAGTAATCAATGTATTTCAGCCAGATTTTTGCCGGTTCGTAGAAATTACATGAAGAATTTCGTCTAAGATTTTCTACTATATTTCAGACCTGTGCAACTTCGTTACAACCGAACCGTGTCCAAATTTGGCTTTGAAATGTTACATGAATATGTTTTGAAATTAGTCGATGTTGAAAAGTGTCCACAAATGGATGAAAACTGTCCCGAAGCGGATAAACTCGATATCACAAAATGCCTCTCCGGTATGTCAAAAACGAAGGTGAAATCAATCATTCTTACCAATTTGTCGTTTCATTTCTAGCCGAGATCCCTGAAGAAACGGTATTTTTATCTAAACCACATTTCTATGGACACAATTCGTCGTCGACCAATGTGAATTTTCATCCGAATTTCGATAAACATGAATCAACAATTTACTTTGAACCAATCTCTGGTACACCAGTAAGAGCCCAATTACGTATTCAATTGAGTACCAACGCCTGGATTGATCGTCTGAAACTTAATCCAGACGGATCTACTGAGTATGCTTATTCATTTCTTTACAGCTGATATTGACACTCATTCGTGTTTACCTAGACCAACTCGTACACGTGCTGTTCGACGATTCATTCCAATGATGTGGATCGATCAAGTAAAACATCAATCCCTGATCTTTTGAATCATAACGTGTTTTCACCTTTTCAGACAATTACATTGAATAACGAAACATTGAATCGTTTACAACGTGTCAGTATAATTCTTGAAAAAGGTCACTATGCATATGGTTCATTGAAATTAATTTACATCATCATTGCTTTGCTATCTTTAATTGCCATTGTTGTGGTTTTGGAATTATTCTTTTTCAATCGACAAGTAAGAATTCGATATGAAATTTATTTGCCATTGTTCATTTATTTTATCTGTTCGTAGCGTCGAGCTGATAAACACTTATTGTACGCGCCGAGCAAAGATCAAGAGAAAGAATTGCTACGCCCACCGAAAAACAGCTCACAAACGTAAACAATAGTGAATTGAACTATCCATCTGGTGATACGTATCGTCAAATTTGTTTGTTGACTGTAATTGATGTAGAACATTTCTGTCGAAATCTAAGAAATTTGCTTGTCTGAGCCTTATTCTCATTGTTAATACACTTTTCGTTTTTCTATGTAGATACCTTCAGGTTCTTTTTCGAAAAAAATCTTTTTGATGTGAAATGTTTTTCGGTTGTAAATAAAGGCGAAATACGTTCAATTGTGCTTTTCACATGAATTGCAATTGTTGAACTTAAATATTCATACTTCAATGAGGAATGGGTATAGGGAACAACTGATTCCCATTTGCCCTTGATCTTATGTAAAATTGCATCTGTTTTGTATACATATATGTTATTCTATTTATATTCTAAAATCTCGTCGATGTAAAGAGATTCTCGCAAGAGGGCCAAAGACCTGGCAACTGAAAATAGATTCGATCTGTTCAGTTTACAGGTGATGAGCCTATTTCTTGAAAATCTGTAGAGAGATCAAGTTGACGATGATGAGAAAGGCAAATTGTTCGTCGAATTTCGGCTAATATCGTGCAGGTACACAAATCCTTGCTTTAGTGAATTCTTTATTAATCGTCAGCAAACAAATGTGAACCTGTTCGAAGATTAACCTCAGAGAGCTTCATACTTACTTGCCGAGAAGTGATTTCTGAAAAAAAATGAAGAAGATGAGCTGCTTATATAGTGGTGAGAAGCGAATCTTTACGCCAATGAAGATATTCTTTTGGATAAATAAACGAAGACAGGTTCATTATTGGCATAGTTGACTAATCATCTGTCTTCGAAGATATGCTCATCTTCATTTGACAATTTGTTTACCATTCCGAGTGGAGAACTTTTAATGAGCCGTATCGATCAAGTAAAGTGTCGTACGTGACTGAAAGAAAATGAAGAATGAGCAAAATGAAATGTATATATGCTGGGGCGGTTAGTGAAACTGCTGTTGTATCACTGATGGCATAGTTCATTTGCATATATATACACAGAGGCACCAACTGTGTAAGTTATACACAAAAGAGACGTTCGTCTCAATCAAATTCTGATCAGATTTACCTTCCGACTGATGATTTTCTCGGAGAGCATTGTGTTAGGGATTTTCAATTCGTTTCTTTTACATCGAGAATGAAACAGATGTGAACAAACGATAGACTTCGATATCTCAATTATGATTTTCCGCAAATAATCATTAATTAATACTGTGAGCTAGCGCCCTCTATTCAATTAAAGATGCGTTTTTCGTTTGCTTTTGTTCAATAAAAAGTCGATACAAATTGACATTGAGTTTACGCGTAAAAAAACTTAAACTTTTGTAAATGCAATATGGTCAGTGATAATTGATTATTTTATCAGGTGTATAATTACATTCTTCAAATCTTGATCTTCTCCGTTTATTCGTGTACTTGTTTTTCTGTTAATCATGTTTTCAACGATGGGAAAAACAAGAAAATATTCTTAACTATTTCAATACATTTGTAAAAAAAAAAGAAAAGAAAAGTCCAATGTCTTCAGCTAGAGATGGTCGCCGTTTGGTACGTATCGAGACTAAAATCTTGAATTAACAAATAGATCGAAAAGAAATAATCTAGGCAGAACAATTGATAAAAATAGTTTTTCGTGAAAACGTACGTTCAAGGTTTTCACGATAGTTTTCCTTGAATTTTTCAGCGCACGCGCGAGAAGAAGAATTATACTGACGATGATGCGGATATTTTCTTCGAAGAGATCTTGGAAAAAGGACAAAAATGGAATATTGAACAGAAATTCGCTGCGTCGAATGAATATCAAGGCAAATTTGTCGAAGAGCTCACTGTAGATGGTGAGTCCTTTTCTTTTATCGATAACCAGAGACTGTATTCGAGTTCATCCAGAATTCAACTTGTCATATATTCAACGTACCGGTTTTCCGAACCCGATTGTGATTAAACAACATCGGGGTTTAGGTCTACGAGTCCCTACACCGCGATTTACTGTCCACGATGTTCGAGCGTGTATTGGTTCGCAACGTTTGATCGATGTTGTCAATGTTGATACGCAAGAATCACTGCAAATGACGATGAAATCATGGACGGACTACTACGACCAACCAGCAGAGAAACGAACAAAACTGTTGAATGTCATTTCGTTAGAATTCAGCCACACAGCATTGGAAAAATACATTGAATCACCAACGATTGTTAGTTGCATGAATACATTTTCATATGAAATAGCTCAGTGAGTTTTTCTTTCAGGTACGTGAAATCGATTGGATAACAAATACATGGCCTGAATATTGGTTTGATGTGCAATCACAACTTCAAAAGAATCTCAAACAAGAACATATGTACTATCCAAAGACTCGCAAGTATAACCGACGAATTCAATAGTCTGTTCTTCGAAGTAAACCCTTATTTCATAGATACGTTCTCATGTCAGTCGCGAAATGTTTCACTGACTTTCATATCGATATGGGTAAGTCGATATGCATGACAATTGACTCAATAGAATGAGCTGATGTTTGATTTTCTCAGGTGGATCATCTGTATGGTATCATCTACTGAAAGGAAAGAAAGTTTTCTGGTTATTACCACCGACGGAATCTCATTTACGTTTATATGAAGAATGGATCTTAGCCGGGCGACAAAACGAATGTTTTTTCGCCGATATCTGCGCCTCGAAAGATTGTCAAATGATCGTTCTTGAACCTGGTTGGACATTTTTCCTTCCATCGGGCTGGATTCACGCTGTATATACTCCTGAAGACTCGTTGGTATTCGGTGGAAATTTTCTGAATTCTTTCAAAATTCCAATGCAAATTCAAGTCTGGTCAATCGAAAGAAAAGTTCGCGTACCTGATCGATTTCGCTACCCGTACTTTATCGAAAGTATGTGGTATGTGATTCAACGTTATGTACATCGTTTAACCGGTGTCACGCATATCGCTGATGATTGGTAAGCACTCATACCGAAGTTTTTCCCAATCAGTGAAAACAAACAGAAACGGGACATTGTCAATATGGAGAAGAAAAAAAAGCAATCTTGAATTTCTATTTTTTAGCTTGGAATACGCCCAGAAAGAACAAGAAACAGATGCAAATCAGCAACCTCTTCCAATCGATCCTTCAGGTAAAGATGAAAGAATGAAAAGACGCTTAAGAAGGTTTTTTCTTCCGGGGAAAGATGATTGCTTTTCAAATTGATTCGTTTCATTCAATTTTATTGAACAATATTATTAAGAGAGATAAAGACATCAAACAATAGTAACGCCGTCATCTACCTCTTACATAGAGTTTAATTCTGACTTCTTCTTTTT